ATACGTGAGGCGTAACCCCCGTCAGCCACCACTTCTCACTCGAATCCGGAATGCGTGTGCGTAGTACGTGGTGCGTAGGCCCTTCTCCGACAGCTTGGGCGTGCGAATGCGTAAAACGTATGCGTAATACGTGAGGCGTAACCCCCGTCGGCCACCACTTCTCACTCGAATCCGGAATGCGTGTGCGTAGTACGTGGTGCGTAGGCCCTCTCCGACACCTTGGGCGTGCGAATGCGTAAAACGTATGCGTAATACGTGAGGCGTAACCCCCGTCAGCCACCACTTCTCACTCGAATCCGGAATGCGTGTGCGTAGTACGTGGTGCGTAGGCCCTCTCCGACACCTTGGGCGTGCGAATGCGTAAAACGTATGCGTAATGCGTGAGGCGTAACCCCCGTCGGCCACCACTTCTCACTCGATCCGGAATGCGTGTGCGTAGTACGTGGGGCGTAGCGCGCCTTGAGAGGCACACCCCGATCGGCCGAAGGTGGATGCAGAAGACAGATTCGTAATACGCAAGACATTTGTAGCTCCCTCAGGCGCCACTTGGCTCGGACACGACACCGAAATACGCGACGTCTGGCCGACGCACTATGGATCGCGGGCGCGTATTTACATAACATGGCCGATCTGTGCATTCTGGGCGATTACATATGCGTAGCAGTACTGACGACCTCCCCTACTTTTCTTTAGAGCGGGTGGAAGGAAACAAGGTCACACTGGGCGCCATGGGCCGTGAGCTTTGGTTGCGCCAGTAGGGACCTCCGCGCTCCGGCTCCCTAACCGCCGTACCCCGGTACCGTCGCGTCTGATTCCCACACCACAGCCACACCGACATCATTCTCCGCCACGAGAAAAAGTACATGTCGTTGCTCAGCTCGTCCTCCCTCGTTTCGAGCGCACCTTCACACAGTATGTGCTGGCTCTGAGTCTCCGTCCCGCGAGGTTCCGACCGTGACACCGACGAGCGCTTCTGGCACCGTCACTGTCGGGGCGAGCCTCGCAGCTCGACAAAAATAAAACATCCCCGCACCACTCGCCCTCGTCCGGGTCCTAAAAGGAAAAAGCGCGGCCCTTCACCGCTCACAGCTCAGATCACCTAATGCCCCTCTCTACATCAGGAGCGCGAAAGAAAAGGCCCGCGCCGTCGCCATCGGCGCGACCTCCTCCCAGGCATTCGAGGCCGGGTCGAACCGCTCCACCGAGTGACTGTCAACCTCAGTCTCGTCGTCCTCCTCTGAGGTTCTGCCGCCCACAGCGTACAGCTTGCCTTCCAGCGCCGCCACCCCGGCCCCGAAGCGAGCCAGCGTCAGCGGCGCCACAGCCTCCCACGCATCCGACCCCGGGTCGTACCGCTCCACCGAGCGGAGGTGGCCGCCGTCGTACCCGCCCACCACGTACAGCTTGCCGTCGAGCACCGCCACGCCAGACTGCCGCGCCTCCGCCATCGGCGCCACCGCCTCCCACGCACCCAACCCCGGATCATACCGCTCGACTGAGCTGAGGTAGTAGTCGTCGTCGCCATTGTATCCTCCCACGGCGTACAGCTTGCCATCCAGCACCGCCGTGGCGTGATTAAGCCGCGCCGTCGCCATCGGCGCCACCGCCTCCCACGCGTTCGTCGCCGGGTCGTACCGCTCGACTGAGCTGAGGGAGGCGCCGACGTTGATGGCCACGTTGTTGTGCCCACCCACAGCGTACAGCTTGCCCTCGAGCACCGCCACGGCGTGGTAGTTCCGCGCCTCTGCCATCGGCGCCGCCGCCTCCCACGCTTTCGTAGCAAGGTCGTACCGCTCCACCAAGGAAGTTGTGTCGTCGGCCACCAAATCCTGGCCGCCCGCCGCGTAGAGCTTGCCATCGAGCACCGCCGTGCCGACATAGCTTCGTGCCGTCAGCATCGGCGCCACAGCCTCTTCCTCCCACGCATTCGTGGACGGGTCGAACCGCTCCAGCGAGCTGACGAACTCGCCATCGCTGTCTTCGCCGCCGATCACGAGCAGGCGCGGCCTTTCGCGCTTCTTCAGCGTCTCCTTCCAGCCGCGGCGCCACGGGCGGCACGTCCCCTTGACGGCGTGCTCCGTGGACGGCAGCTGGGCGAGGATGTGCGGGGCGAGGTCCGGCGAGAGGAGGACCTCGGAGAGCACCCACTCGGGCTGCTCCACGAGCCGTGCAGCGTGCTCCTCCGCCACGCGCAGCGCGGCGTCGCTCGCACCCGCCTGCGCCTCGATGATGGCGCACAGCTGCTCTGGCGAGAGGCCCGCGACGCGGGCGCCGATGCGGGAGGCCATCGTAAGCACAGAGAGGATTTCTGTCACAAGGGTGTGAGGTAACTGTCGACCTAGTGTTGCGCGCGGACAATCCCTCACATAATGACCTGATGGAATTCTTTTCCCCGTGTCAAGAGAGGTCCTCCTCGAAGCGCCTTGCTGGCTTCCGTCGCCTCCACCGAAGCAATGCCCGACGAGTGCCTGGCGCGCGCGCTCCTTCCGTGGAGCTTGGCGTCGAGCGGCCTTGATCACGTCGTCGAGATTGAGCGCTCGGCCTGCGGGCCCTTCTTCAACGCGTTGATGATGCTGCTCGGCGTCCTCCTCCTGACCCACAGCGACGACCAGAGCTCGCGGAAGAATGCGACGATCCTCTTTGCGCTCTGCTTGCTTTGTGGGAGCGCCGTCTCCTCGGCGGCCATTTCCGGGATCCTAGAGGCGATGGACGCCACGCTCTCCTGCACCGCCCGGTCGCTACCGCCGCTAGCCGTGGGTGTGGCGCTCGGCCTCCGCGCGTCCCAGAAGCCGTGGACGACATTCCTTCTCCTCGGCCTGTGCGTCGGCTCTCTCGCCGCCTTTTACGTCTTCACAGTCGTCCGCCTGTTCCTATTCGAGCTTCTCTTGGTCGGTGCCGTCGGCGGCGCGTACCTGGGGTTACGGCTGAAGGCGTATGTCGTGCCGGCCACCACCTCGCTCCTCGCCGCCTTTCTCTTCACGCTGGGCTTCACCTACCTGTTCCTCGTCCCAGCCTCGGCACACTATGCGCGCTGGCTGACTCGCCTGCGCTCCAAGCGCAACGGCTTCGGCATCGACTTGCCGACCTCGAGCGCGTCCTCCTCGGGGTCCCCGATCTCCTCGCTCGCATCGGGGCTGCAGAACTCCGCGCCCGAGCAGTTCGCGGAGGACCTCTTTGCCGACTCGTCAGACGGCCTCTTCGCCTCGCTCAAGCCCGACAGGCCGCTCGACGAGGCGCTGCTGGACGCGCTGCAGGACAAGTACACGATGGTTCCTCTGATCGTGGCCGTCCTGTTTGTTGCCTCGCGAGAGCAGCTGCAGAAGCTCTCTGCTACAGGCGCGGAGATCTCCGGAGAGACGTGGGAGAGGGCACGCAAGCTCT